CTTCTTCTTCTTCTTCTTCTTCTTCTTCTTCTTCTTCTTCTTCTTCTTCTTCTTCTTCTTCCTCCTCCTCCTCCTCCTCTTCCTCCTCCTCCTTTTCCTCTTCTTCCTCTTCCTCTTCTTCCTCTTCCTTCTCCTTCTATCTTCTATTTTTATTACTTACTCAGAAATTATTTTCAAATACTATATACCAATCACAGTTTTCCCTCCCTCATCTCCTCCCATATACTCCTAACCTCTTCACCCTTCTAACCCCATGCCTTCTTAGGAAAAAACTCAAATAAAACAGACAAATTATGAGAAAAAACCAAAAAATATACAAACTAAGAAAAAGTGTGTGTGTGTGTGCGCGCACACACACACCATAAAAACTCAAAATGAAAACTATAATACACAAGTATAAGTCCAATAAAGGAAAGAAAAGGTCAGACAAAACAAGATGGACCAAAAAAATTGTCCTAATCTTCTGAATTTATTTTACGTCGGCCATTTCCTGCTGGCATGGGACCTGCCATAAGGTGTAGTGAGACTTCCTTGGAAAAAGGAATTGTTTCTTTGTGAGTGGTTGTTAATTGGAGACAGCTTCTTATTTAGTTTCTTGGTTGGGGATGAGAACTCCTGTCTGTTTCCTCATGTCAGGGTTCATGTTCTGTCTGATTTGGATCTGTGTAGATCCTATATATTGTACCATAGTCTCTGTGAGGTTGTGTGTGTATTATTTCTGTTGTATCTGAAAGATACCTCTTCTTTGATATCATTTATTTCCTCTGGCTATTGTAATCTCTCTGCCTCCTCTTTCACATAATTCCCCGAGCCATGTGGTGAGGGATTTGATGAACACATCCCATTTAGGATTGAGTGTTACAAGATTTCTCTCTCTGCACATTGACCAGCTATGGGTCTCTGTGTTTGTTCCCATCTACTGTGGGAGAAAGCATCTCTGATTATGGCTAAGTGAGACACTGGTCTATGAGTATGGCAGAATATTACTAGGAGTCATTTTATTGCTATATTTCTTTAGCAGAACAATAGTATTTTATTCCCCCCAAGATCCATAGATTATCTAGTCTCAAATCTTGGCCACAAAAACAATGTCAGACAGAGGTTCCCTTTCATGGAGTGGGTCGTGGATCCAATAAGACAGCGGTTATGCCCAAAGTGTTTATACCACAATGGCACTATAATGCATAGTTCCTAAGCAGAGTGTTTCTTTAGAAGAGATAACAAAAATTAGGAACCAGAACTCTTTTCTGTAATTCTATGCCTAGGCTGCCAAATTAATTTTTATGTTCAGTCCTCATTTATACCAATGTGAAGATGCTCAACACTCAAATTCTGCAAAATTTTCCAAAGGATTGAGTGTTATGAATATATACTTATGTAACATTTATATGAACTACACAGTTTGGACTCATTTGTTTGAGCCATCAATTTGGAAACTATCTTTGATACTGTTTAAACTTGTCTGAGAAATGTGATTCTTATGTTTTTTATGATTTATCATTGGTTAATTGAGAAAACATAGGCCTCATATAGATATTTTTCTTGTTGTCACAATAGTTCTGTGTATCAGGGTTTAAAATCATCTTTACAAGTTATAAAACTTGATCATAATAAAATTAATTAATTGGACTTGTGGGCATCCAAATAGGGTATTTAGATACGTGAGATATTTCCAAGGTCATTTATGAAGCTGTGATTCCAATCACCAGGGAAAGAGAAATTCAAAGCCCGTGTTCTGACAGTTGAAACATTCTATCCCTTTGATTAATTCATTAAAAGCTGAGAACGCTCAAGATAAGTTGACCCCCAACTAAAGAATTATTCACTACCATGAAACAGCACACAAAACTTAAGAATGTTATGAGAACAATTGGTTAAATAACATTTCTTGTTAAAGTGAAAAAGAATATTTCCTAACAACCCAGTGTGACTATTCCTTTGGTCTTTAAGAGTTGGTGCGGTATATTGTCACAAAGAACTTATGCCTTGATATTATATTTTATGATTTTGCAGAAATCTTGTCTGAACTTACATGATTACCTGAAGACCACTCTGAATCCTTATATAATCAACGTCACCCTTGCAGCCAAAATGTGTAGCCAAACACTCTGCCAGAATCAAGGCATATGTTCGAGGAAAGATTGGAATTCAAATGACTATCTACACTTGAGCCCTCAGAATTTTCAGATTCGTTTTGTAAAACGTGGAAAGTATGAAATCATTGGCAATCCCACCCTTGATGATCTGCGGTACTTTTCCAAAAACTTCCGTTGCAGCTGTTTCGCCAACTTGAACTGTAAGGAGAGAGTTGACATAGAAAGTGTGAACACTGTCAGTGTGTGTACTCTTGAAGACATTTGCATTAATTCCCTTGTAATTTCAGATCGTAGTGATCTACCTGAAAACTGGAATTACCCTTACATGGCTAACGGGAATCAGTCAGACATTACATCATCTGCCACAGTGAGCCCTTGTGTGCCAAGGAAAGATGTCAGTGGCTATCTCTTTGTTCTCTCCATCTATTCACAGCATTTGAAATATTCGCTATAGTGTTTTGACTACTCAAAAACTGGGCATCGTCTTTCAAAAATAATTCCATCCAAATAATCAGGATTATGCTTTGAAATTCAGAGGCAAAATGTATATTTTTGTCTATCAAGACCTGATAGCAAGGCTGTCATACTTTCAGGGTTAATGGTCTTCTGAGAGGAGTGAAGATTAAATAAAATCAAGTTGCTATAAATGAATGTCTTTCAGTAATTTGTTTTTAGAAGTATGCTATTAGTTAAAATTTGTCAACGTTTTTGACCAATTTATCCTTGGTTCAAGGCTTTTAAAAAATGAAAATGTGTATCTTTTAAAATGGAATTTCTCAAATGTTCTAATCTGCTGTAATTATAATTTTTAGCCATTATATTTTGAAAAATACTTATATTTAGGATTTATGGAAAAGTAAACTTTGAAAATTATCATATGTTTACATGAGAATATATTTTTGAAATTTATACTTTTAAAGTATTCGAATTAACTATTCATTTCTGATGTTCAAGATTAATTCATGTACCTAAAATAGCTTATTTCACTTAAGCATCCACTTGTTCATTAACCTTTATCATAAAGCTTTTATTGAGTTTTACTTTTTTCAGGCTTGGCTTGGTATTCAATGTCGCTAAATCCTTGTAGAGGGGCATATTTCTTTCCTTCAGTAAATTAGAAAGTTTTATGTTTAAAGCTGAAATAAATAAATGTTGAGAATAGTGTGTTTTCAGTGCTATAGTATGTTCACAGTTCTCTGGCATGAAAATAAGAAGCCAGGAGGTCAGGATGTTTGGAAAGAGATGAGGTGAAGGCTGTTTGAAGGGTTGACTACAGATGAATGTGAGAACATTTCAGAAAGAGGAAGAGCTGAGTGTGCTGTTGGAGTGGTGTAAAGCAGAAGATAATCAAATGATGAACCCTTCTGACCTGCACAGTGAAGATAACCCTACACTTTTATGTCTATCCTGGGTTTTTACACACATCTACAACAACACGATGTATCTATTTTTAATTCTCATTATAGTCCTGTAATAAACACACACTGGGGGCAGTTATTTGGTGACTCACCTGTATCTAATGTGTGACAATCTCTGAGACTAAGGGTGAGCCCATTGAATGAGTGTTGAGTAAAATAAAAATGAGGACTTGCTACAAGGTTCTGGCCTCAGGAATGGTCATGGGCACTTCTCATGCCTTTAAGAGCTAGGATCAATACTGACTTTCCCTTAAACTGCACCCTTCACCCCCTAGTCTTGTTAAGATATTGTTGCCAAATCCATGTCTTCAAAAGTTGTTGAAAAGAAATTATTTGATAAAGCCAGAATAATGTTCAGGACTTAGAAAGAATGGAGGCAACAAACATTGAAAAGAGATTTTGTAACTGAGCAATTATAAACACAAATTCCAAATTCAACCAAGAGAGATGACCCGCTTGTTTAGGCTTTCATAAATTCAGTTAAGATTTACCTTTTAAGGTCTAAAAAGACTGAATAATACAATGCATGTAAAACAGTTGACTTTAGACATAAGTCAGAAGATATCCTCAAGAAAATGGGAATGGGTATGTTTCACTGATCGTGGAAGTACTCTCACACTGATATTTCTGAACAGAATGTTGAAACAACATCATTATGTACCTGATAAAAATATGCCAAGTTGAAAATTAGCCTCACTGGTAATATTTTATATAAAGCATAACTGTTTATGATAAGGTTTGCAGAAGCAAGTTGTATTTCCATTCCTTCAAGCATTTGTCAAGTATCAGGTTAGGATCAGAGTTATATAGAAAGTAATAGAGATCCGCTGCTCATTGTCAGTGAAGGGGCCATAATTACCAATGTTCACAGAATGTGGTACACATATGTACAGTCAAATTGCAGAGATGAAAGAACAGACTTTTACCCAACTAATCGATAGAGCATTAAAAGAAATAGAGTAACTGGCAGTATCTTCTGACAGTGTAGAATACCTTTAAAGAGTTAGGTTTCCTAAAAATCCTCTTCTCTGACAGGGAGGGAAAGTGTTTTCTGTGGAAATAGGACCATGAAGAAGTCATCCATGTTTCAACATGTGGTCCTACATCCATGAACATTCAGGCAGCATTAAATAGATTACGTGCTGTTGCTTGTTTTTTTCTCACAAGAAGCTGAGAATTAAAAGTGGTGGTGGTACGTTTAGGTTGGCACAATTGGAGGAAATGGAATGATAGTTGTATTTGGTCAAATATTTTATGAATGGATAAAATTTTCAATGAAAAATTTGTGTTTTTAAGAAAAGAGTCATGAGCCTTTACTGAGCTGTAGTTAAAACACACAAAAAGGGATGGTTTTCTAAAAATGTCACCAAGGTTAGTTTATATAGCTCAGTAGAAGATTACTTTGCTGATGTACATAAAGTCCTGAGTTATGTATGTTCCAAATTCCATTAAAGAAAAGAAGAAGAAAAGGAAGGGAGAGAGAAATGAAGGATGGAAGAAAGGTAGAAAGGATATAGAAAGGAAGTAAAAACAAAAGAATGACCTTGGAAGTGAATTTTGAGTGTCAATGTGAAAGTGTGTGTGTGTGTGTGTGTGTGTGTGTGTGTTGGTCAGAGTCAATGCTGACATCTTCAGTTGCTTCTCTATTTTATTTTTGAGACAGGGTACCTCACTAAAGCAGAAACTCACTTTGGGAATACATAGGTGAGTCAGCGAGCCCCTGGAATCCACTTACAGCTGACTCCCATTGCTTGGGTTAAAGGCATATGCCACCTCTCACAGGTTTGTTATGAATTCCAGGGTTCAGATGTACTTATCCTCACAGGGCAAGAACCTCACCCACTTAGTCACTCCCAAAGCCTTAATATGTGCACTTAAAAGTGCGCCTTTATGCTAGTGAACTAGTAGATAATGCCAATCAGAAAAGGTATTTCTTGATAATTAATTCTAAATTTCCTTTTTCCACTGATTCCTTTTGAACTTGATAACTGTCTAGTTAGGGTCACTATTGCTATGATGAAATGCCATGACCAAAAGCAAGTTGGGGAGGAATGGGTTTGTTGGCTTACACTTGTTTGCTCCAAAAATCTAAAGGTCTCTTCGGTGATTCATATATACAGGCCTTTCAAGGGCTCCAATCAGCATCCCTGTCTGCCACTAACACCCAAAGTCTCATCTGGTCAGCTGCCAATATGACCCAAGTGGTAAAACATCTTGTACAGCAGCTTGGAGCTGTTGAAAAGACATCCCCTGTTACAGGCTGCACTCAAAGCTAGCAGCATTCCTAGTCACTGGGTATATGGGTTGGAGTGAGGCAAGTATGAAATGTGCTATCTTCAGTATCCAAATAAGCCCACTTCTTCCTTGGTGGTGGGAGGGGTCAGGTTCAACTACTTATCCTCCTTAGAAAGAATATCTCTCTACAGCCCACACCATTGAACACCCTAAGAATTTTACTGAGTTAGAAGGCTCTTGGATTTTGGTTGAATTTATTTACCATCCTCTGATGTGTTACCCACAAGTCCAAAGTAGTTGTTACCTCCTGCACACTTGGTACAATACGCATAAATTATCAGCATTGGGAACCATTGTAATACTTCGTTGGAGAAATATAATCAAGATCCCTTCTAACTAAGTTATGACACAGGGCTGGAGGGTTAATATATCCTTGAAGTAAAACTGCACAGTTATATTGATGGTCTTGGCAACTGTCAGAGAATTGATTGCTTCTGGTGATCCTTATGAACAGGTACTGAGAAAAAGGCATTTGCTAGATCAATAGCTATATGGCCTGTACCAAGAGATGTGTTGAGCTGTTCAAAGACAACACATCTGGTACAGCTGCTGCAATTGGAGACACTTACTTGAATGTGTTTTCCATAGTCAACTATTATTCTACACAATTTGTCTTCTGTAATAGCCATATAGGAGAGTTAAAGGGAGTTGTAGTGAGAACCATAACCTCTGTATTTTTCAAATCTTTTCTGGTGTCACTAATGCCTTCCATGGGTGTGATTCTGTTTTATGTTTTTCACATTTTATCTCTCTGTTTTTCATGAATTTCACATCATGCATCCCAATCTCACTGATATCCCTCCACCCTTGCAACTTCTGCCCTTAATAGAGAAAAAAAAAACTCACTGTGGAAGCTGTAGAGTGTCACAGTGTGTCCCACAGTACACACTTTTGTCCATACTACTTTGCTTGCAAATGCGGTATTAGTTCTGGTATTAGGACTCTGGCTTAATACTAGACCTCACTCGACTCCTTTCAGATATCCTGTTGTTGCCCTGTGCCATGGAGGTTCTGTAGATTTGGATCTGTGGGAGTGGCCACTTCCTGCACTCATGAAGGTCATCTGTGAGATTGTCAAATTTAAAGATCTGGTTCTGGGCCTAACCGATACCTGCATTTGTCAATCTACCCATTCTCCCTCTCTCAGGCTCTCCTGGCCAGCTCACCCACAACCTCCATAACCAGGGCCAGCTCTTCCTGTTGCCTAGGTGAGATGCAGGGCCCACTCTCTGCTGTGTTGCAGTGGATGAAAGACATGGCTAGTTCTCTTACTCTCATGACGTGGGGCCAGCTCTTCTGCCTGCTATAGGTGGAGAGGGTTGAGAGAGGAGAGGAGAGCATCTCCTGTCAAGGCTAATTCTCCCACACTCATACCTTGGGGGCTGGCTTATCCAAAACTCCCTCAATGTGCAAGGATCGCTCTCCCCAGTACTGCAGCTGGCTGGGTTGGGGGGAGTCTCCTCCTCTCATGCCTCTAGGGCCTGCTCTCCCATCATGCCTAGGTGAGGGGTGGAGCCAGTTCTGCACAGTCCTCAAACATCAATATTTCGCCAGACCGGGGATGGCTGCCTGGCCTTTGGTGGTAACAGCCCACTTTTACTGCAGGGCTAGAAACTCAGCTGTGGCCCCTGATGGCAGCACAGGCCAGGAGCCCATCATGGTCCCACGTGACATCACCTGCTGCTCACATCAGGCTGTTCCTCACTACCCTTGAGTATCCAGTTCTGCCTCTCTTTACTGTGCCATATCTTTCTGTTTCTCTTCCATTTCTCCACCACGTTCCCCTCTTAGTGGCACCCGGTGTCTCTGTCTGGCGCCGCCTCAGGAGTGGTCTCAGGAATGCTATGCCCTGCTCATGCATCGTGATGCCAGGCAGGGGTCATCCTTGGGAATTGTGACTTTTCCCCCAACCCCCTAACCCCTCCCCCCACCTCACCAGGCCTGTGAAGTGCCAGACTGGTGTTCAACCCAGGCTAGCTTCCTGTTGGGGCCCCACAGCGCCAGTCTGGTGGTCATTTAAGGCTCACTTCTCACCCGGACACCTCAAGTGACCCTTCGTAAGAGTTGTCTATTTAAGGCTTACTTCCTCCAAAGGCCACAGTCCCAGACAGGGTTCTTTTAGTCTCCCCATCCTGGAAGCCTGGTGCCCCAGGATGACTTGGGGGTCATCTCAGGCTAACTTCCTATAGGGGACCCCTGGGGCTAGACTGGTGGTTGTCTCAGATTCCCTTTTTTAGGGGACTGTTAGGCTACTAATCATTCAGATGTTTACAGGTCAGAACACTGAGCATAGACTTAGCTTCTCTCCTCTCTGCCACCTACTGACGCACAAGTGACACAGCAGCCGCAGCTGCAGTGCCTCGGGCAGAAATAAAAGTGGTTTTCTTTGGCAGAGGCAGCAGCTCCAAAGGCTTCCAGTTAGCTTTGCCAAGCATAATTGCTCGGATTCCATAGATCAGTTGGTGAGAACTATACCATCTTCTAAGTATGTCTATCCCAATTATGCATTCTGGGTCTGTGGAAATGACCATGGGATGAGTTTGGGGACCCAGTGGACTTCCTGAGTCAGACTTCAGTCAAAACTGCATCAATCACCTGACCTCCGTAAGACCCTACTTTAACTGGAGGATCTCTTGGGGTCCCAGAAATCAGCAACAATTCAGAACCAGTATTCAACAGACCCCCAGAGATTCTGATTATTTCCTTTCCCCCAGTGTACAGTTACCCTTGTAAAAATGCTGTAGGTCCTTCCTGGGAAGGACCAAGGAAAGGCTAATAGTAAAACTCTTAGGTATTTTATCAAGGTCTTTCCTCAGGGGCACCTGGTAACCCTTTAGTTCAAGGGGTCTGAAACTAGATCCAGTTTAGAGATTAGTTCACAGGCTGAGATTCCCTTTTGCCTGGATCTACTGTAGTCCTCCTCTCATTTGTTTCAGGGTTTTTCTACTTACATAGATGAAATAAAAACATAGCAGGCTTCTTATCCATTTCATGCCTGGAAACTCCATGATCAGTACAAAAGGTCCGTACAAGTCACACCATTATAAATATATTACTTTGTCTCTTCTGCCCATTATACATTAGACCGTCATGGACATTGCTTTGTTAGTGCTGCACATTACAATAACTATGATCACCTTGCCTTTAATAAGTGCTACCACCTGATGCCTGCTAACTTAAGGCTCAATAAACCCATAAAAATTAATTTATCCAACCGAGCAGCAGCATCTCCAAATCTAAGGTCTGGCACAAGGAAAGGGGCAAGAACAAAACCCTTCAAATGTGCTGGAGTCCCTCTCACCATTTTGTAGAATCTTCTAGCATCTTGGCCTTTCCATTGTGGAGGACTAGGTTTCATACAGCATAGTCATATGACAATTTCTTTGAGCCTTAAATGTCTTCACCAACACTAAGCCAAGGGATATCAGGCATCTCCAATTCCTTTTCAGTAGGTCATCTTTTGATAAATGCTTCTGCCTATCATTCAAAAAAACCATTTAACACCTTAAAAAACAATGGCGTCAGATTTCATATTAAACTTAAAATTTCCAGTCAGTTGGTCAGTATCAATTAACTCAGCCTGGCCCAGTTTTATGTTCTTTCCACCATTATCCTCCACCATTAAAGTACATTCACACTCTTATTTCCAGACGTAAATGAATTAGCAAACTTATTAAGCTCATTGGTACTGTAGTGCGCCTCATCATGGATTACACTTTCTAAGTCTCCTCTAGGAACCTATTTAACCTTATAGGTCTAGACGTCTTGAGATACATTAGCATTGTCTTGTCTGGCATCTCTCTCACGGAAAGTCATTGCTGGGTCAGCATACAAGGGAGATTAATTTCATCAGTCAAATGTGGAAAAGGCAACGTTTCAGGTTTGGGGAGTGTTAAGTACATCTTCTGCTGAGGGCGGAGAGACTACTTTCTCAGGTGAGATAAACTCTTGAGAATCTGAAGATTCAAAGTTCTCAACTTCAGTAGGATTTTTTTTACACATCCTCTGCTCAAGTTACTGGGTTCTATTCTTTACCAATTAATGGCCTTTAAGCGCATACACTCTGAGGCTGGGACTTGGATAACTTTCACTGTAATTCAGAAAACCAAATAATGAGTGCTTCAGCTTGTTTCCCCACAACTGCTGGAGAGAAAATTCTCTTCTAGGATACACTCAAACCTGTTAGATTGTTTATATGCATCCGGAGCCAGTCAGTTTTATCAGTGAGTTTATTGTTTTTCTTCACCGTATCCTGAGATGCTAGAAGTTGGTTAATTTTTGTCATGGAGATTATTCTCTTCCTTTGTCAATTTACCCAAGATGCTAGGAACAACCTAACACATCATTAATTTTCTTATTTTTTTTCACAAGTTGTCAAAAGTTTAATATACAGAGTCACCAAATCCTTTCCCTTTCACATCTGCCAAATCAAGGCAATCAAATGCATTCGTTTCCTTAGGTTTGAAGATAGTTTGTACCATGGGCTTTCAGAACTTTCTGGGATTCTAGGAGGGGGTTTAGTATCTCTAGAGGTTTCAGTTACTGTTTGAAAAGCCGATTGCAGCTACTCAAAAATTCCATCCTTATATTTCTGTTGTTCTAGAACCACATTTGGTACAGAAATCTGTATTAACCACGAATCTCTAGGGTAACACAGCTTATAGAGTGAATCTGTACATGGAGAGAAAAGGGATTGATTAGGATGATTTACACCTATCCCATAATGCTTGTCTACCAATACACGTTCCAAGAATCCTGTAGTTGTTCAGTTCATGAGGCTGGATGTCTTAGCTTAGTATATGTCTCTGATTCAAACAAATGGAAAACTACCACAACCTAATTTAGGCAGGATAGCAAGTGGACTCTTCACTAATGATGGTATGGGTCACTCCTCCAGGAAGATGACCAAGAATTTCTAAGGTGCTTACAGAAGGAGGAGGGAATACAGAATGGGTAGTAGAGAAAGGTAGTTATAAATAACAGCTAAGGCCATGTGACCAGTTGCAGAAATGAAGATTATAATTGATGTGAGTGTTTCTCTCATATTATAAGGATGTATTTGTATAGATATTTGTGTTTTCTTTCTTTAATTTCTTTATCTGTAATGAAACTTCAATAAAGAGAGTATCAGTGGTTATAATATTTAAGTTTGAGATACTAAGATAATATCCCTGAAGGAACATTGCCCCCTATTCTAAAATATATGTAACGTGTTTGTTGTTGGATGAAGGATAGTTCTAGCATGTCAGGTGTAAATATGACCGGGTTAAGTATACAATGTGTTTGTACATGAGATAGTTATATCACCTGTGGCATAATTATGAGCTGGTTATTGTTTTCATTTGAAAATTAAGCAAGACATAAGAAGATATGCGTGTCAAGTTGACAAGAGGTGAAGTTGTACTGGCTCTTCCTGTTGGTCAACTTGACTGCATCTGGAATTAACTAAAACCCAAATGTTTTGTTACCCTTGTGAGCTGTTTTTGTTTTCTGTTTTTACTTATTTTTAATTAAATCATTTGAAGTGGGGAGACTCACTTTTAATCTACATCTTTTTGAGGTGGGATGATGATTATCCTTCAATCTAGATTTTTTGAGTTCACAAGATTCACCTTTTATCTGGGCCACACCTTCTGCTAGAAGCCTATATAAAGAATACGGAAGAAGGAAACTTTCTGTCTTTGCCTGCTCGCTTTTACTTTCGCTGGCAAGCCCAGTCCTTCACGGGCATTAGAGCCAACTTCTTCAGCATTCTGGTGTGTACTGGAGACCAGCTGATAAATCTAGCCTTGTGTACTGAAAAGATCAGTTCCTCTGGGAAATTCTGACTAAAATGATAACTATAGCAATTTTGTATGAATTTTGAATTCCTAGCTCATGATCGATATTCCTGGGCTCAACAGTGTAGCTGCAAATTTCTATTCCTAAGAATATGTGAGCTCATTTTCACTCATAAAACTGCCAAGATTGCTTCAACATGACTCTTCTGCCCAATGTTCTGATATTTTTATGAAATTAGTATTTTACATGAACTGATTAAGGGATATGAAAGTGAAACTTCATCAATAAAATTGAAGACAACTGATTTCCTCTACCCACAGGGGGAGAATAAGGGGGTATGTGTGGGAGTGATGAGGGAGGGAGGGGATGTTGGAAAGAAGGAAAGGAAGAGACAACTGAAAAAGAACAGGCAGCCTTTGCATTCACTGGCTCCACTGAGAGCATAGATTTGCACTGAATCCTGAAGAAATTTTGATGTGGGCATAATTAGCTTTGAAATTTTTGTGAAGCCAAGATCAGTTTGATTGAATACTTCACAACAAAGTTATTCCCAACTTCTTCCTCTCATTTTGCTTTTGGCCTCTTTTAAGGATATTTTATTGTCATGTGTGTGTGTGTGTACATGTGTGTGTGTGTGTGTGTACATATGTGTGTGTGTGTGTACGTATGTGTGTGTGTGTGTGTGTGTGTGTGTGGTGTGACTTGTTTGAGGGTGCTGGCCACTGGAGCTTAGAAGAGAGAGTTGACTGTTTTTGAATTGAAGTTTACAGGCAGTTGTGAATTATCCCATGTGGGTTCTGGAAACAGAACTTAGGACCTCAAGAAGAGCAATTCTTAACATTAGAGCCATCTCTCCAGCCTTCTAAATTCTTTTCAGAAACAAAACGAAGCCACAGAGTAATAATACAGTATGAGATATATCCCATGTATTGTCTTTTACGTACTTGTAGATTATGGTCCAGTTAAAGGAAGTAAAACACTAAAATTAACTCATTTGATCGTTTAACTTTCCCTTAGGTAAAAAGACATATTTAGTCTGTTATATATCTCAGTTTTTTTATTTGTAATTTTAAAAATATTTGTATTAATGTAGAGTTGCAAATCAATAAAATTTTGATTATGTATTCTTGAGCTCTATTTTTTAAAGTTGAGATCCTTGCATAATCCTTTATTTCACATGACTCTGAAAACGTTTCTAGCATTGTAAACAAAATGTTTCTCATTACTATACAATGAAAAGTCAAATCCAAATACTTCCTATGATATTAAATTTTCTATTGCTTTCCTATAATGCCATGATGAAGACGCAAAAGGAATGGATAAGAGTCTATCATGGCAGGGAGGGGGCTCAATGACAGGAGGAATACATGATAGGAACAATAAGAAGCTGAGGGCTTACATTCAAAACCACAAACACAACCTAGAGAGAGTGAGTTGGTAACACGGTGAGGCTATATACTCCCAAAGCCTGCCTCTACAGCCATATTTCCTCTAGCAATGCTGCATTTTAATGAACGGTCCTAAATGGTGCTATCCACTGCAAACCAAATGTACAAATATTTGCGCCTACAGGAAAGATTTCTTATTC